TATTAGATATCTATAACAGCTGCGCACTAAAACTTACTGTTTGTCTCACATCTCCAGATTCTCTTGTCGGGAATCTCTCTAATGCTGAGTGGGATACTCCTGATTAAAGAAATATACTTGTCATTAAATAATTCCTTCAGAATGTCAACCTCGCAGCTCCTATTCTGAATAGAAACCATGCCATGCACTACTACATTTTCCAGCCCTGGAGCACATGGTGAATAAACTTTCGGGTTAACCCCGTCTGGTAGCCATGGATCTTCCCAGATATTATCGATCTCCCATCACCCCCTGCCATCTAAAGCCCTCTTTAATCACTCCCTGTGCTTCAAACAGACTTCGCCAGACAAACGAAGGGCTATTACCCAAACTAGCTGATAAAAAATTTCCTTTAGGACAATATCGGGCTTTAAAAATTCTAGCAACTAGAGAATCAGGCTCTAAAATATTTTCCAGCCCTGTTTTGCAAGCATTGCTATGTTAAATTCCTACACACGACGTAACCACGTAACCCCAAACCACCCATCTTCTTAGGTTTACTGAGCCCTTCCCTCCCATTCCACCAATAGCCATTCATAATCACCTCCAGCTCCCAACATAAATCAATAGGGAGAAGAAAAACATTCATAACATAATTCGGCATAGCTTGGATAACTGTTTTAAGAAGAACTTCACGACCCCCCCTAGAGAGAAATTTATTTTTCCAACTCTGCACCCTACTAACCACTCTATGTTTCAAGTAGCTCAAAATCTCTTTTTTTCCCTCTCCCTCCCTATAAGGGCAGGTAGCCCCAAATATTTATCCTCAGGACTAGCCGACCCAACCCTTAACATTTCAGCCAACCCTACTCGGATTTCGACCGAAATATTGGCACTAAAGAACAACTTGGATTTATGAAAATTTATGACCTGACCTGATGCCAATTCGTAGTCCCGAAGAGTTTCCTGAATGACTGATGCCTCATCATGATTTGCTCGAAAAAAGCAATTTGTCATCTGCAAATAGAAGATGAGAAATCCTCGGAGCTCCCTTAGCCACCGAGAGACCATGAAGCCACCCAATTGCCCCCTGCCTACGTAGAAGGGCCGTGAGACCCTCTACCACCAAGATGAATAAGTACGGGAAAAGAGGATCTCTCACCCTCAAGCCCCGCGTGGGCTGAATAGGACCAATCTCCATACCATAAAAGGGAACATGCAAGTAACCGTTCAGACACACTCCATGACCACCTGGATCCACCTATGCGCAAAACCAAGCTGCTACATTACCCCTTCCAAAAAAGACCATTCCACTCGATCGTAAGCTTTACTCATATCCAACTTAAGTGTAACATATCCCTCCTTACTTTGCCGCTTACGTTTCAAAAAATGATGAGATTCAAAGGTAATCAAAATATTATCAACAATTGACCTGCCCGAAATAAAAGCACTTTGTTGTTCCAAAATACAAAGTTTTAACAACCCTTTCAACCTGTTAGCTAGCGATTTAACATAAATCTTGTACACCACATTGCACAGAGCAACATGTCTCCAATCACCTAGGCTCATAGGCTACTCCTTAGGTATTAATACTAGATGAGTATGGTTAATGCCACTCGGCAAACAACCAAAAGAGAAAGCCAACTTACAAAAATCCACGACATCCGGTCCTATTGACTCCCAAAAGTGTTGAAAGAAACCAGGACTCATACCATCTGGCCCAGGGGACTTGTTCGGGTATATGGAGAACAAAGCTTCTTTCACTTCTTCTTTTCGTATGGGACGTAACAGTGTTGCATTCAGGCAGTCATCTACCTGGCAATCAATGCAATGAAGAACTGGCTCCATGACACCCTGCAAAGTAGAAAAAATATGGGAAAAATAATCCACAATAATATTGTTAAAGCATTTCCTCGCGATTCTGCTCCCAGGCACCATTATCCGATTTTAACCCTTTCATTTTATTTCTCGATCATCGTTGTTTGACTGAATTGTGAAAGAACCGAGTATTAGAGTCCCCTTCCCGCAACAAAAATTCCTTTGCACGTTGCCGCCAAAATAAATTTTCTTTGGACATCAAGGAAAAATATTCACTTCTGACTCTACAGAATTCCCCAGATCCCCGTGCATTAGATCTTCCACGAAGGTGGCTAAGTCTTCTTTTACAAAACGTAATCCTCCTCCCATATCCGCCATGATGACCCCTACCCCATAAATCCACCTCTTGAGCACAAGCTGCAATCTGCCCGGTCACTCCTTCATCTCTCCGTAAATTCCAGATGCGAACAACAACCTCTCGACACCCATCCTCCCGTAACCAAACATTCTCGAATTTAAACCTCCAACGCCTCCTCACCCTATCAATAGGGATTAGACGAATGAATAGAGCAAGATGGTCACTTGGAGAACCCTCTAAGTAGCCTCAGTGAATCGTTCTTTCCAACTGGTCGAGGCTAAAATTTTCTCCAATTTTTTCTCCACTCGATTCGGTGTACCCTGTCGTCTCTCACAGATGAACTCGTAACGGTCAAATTCAATGTCGTGTAGACCGCTATCCTAAATAGCCTCTCTAAACCCTCTTAACAGCCACAGTGGGTGGGGAACCCGTCCCCTCTTTTTTGATGCGAAAAGGAGATCATTAAAATCTCCCATGACTAACTAAGGAAGTTGCGACCGCGAACTAAGGTCCCTCAACAAATCCCAAGACTCGCGTCTCCTATTGCATTCTGGGCCACCGTAAATACCTGTAAAGTGCCAAAAGAGGATCACCCTCCTCTAGCCGAACCTGAGCATCGATAAAATTTGAACAATACTCCTGGATTTGTACCTGCACCCCTCCTCCCCACAAGAGAGCTAGTCCTCCACTGTGACCAGCACTGTTAAAACATGAAATCATGCCCGTCCTTCTCCGAATAACCTCCATTTTTGAGTTCTTAGAAAGGGTTTCCATTAAAAACACCAAATTTGGCCGCTTGAGGTGAATCATATCCACCAAAACCTGAACTGCCAACGGGTTGCCAAGCCCCCGGCAGTTCCAACTAATGCAACTCATGATTCTAGGCGGACCAGAAAACCAGGACCCGCCTCCATTCTGTTTTTTTTGCTCTGACATCTCTGCATCAGTTGAAAATTCTCCTTGATATTCTGTGACTTCTCCAACTTTCCTCTTCTTCTGTTGGCCTGTCTCACCCGAGCTCTCTCCTTCATGCCATGAACTTAGTCCAACATATTTATTACCACCTGAGTCTCCTGATGCCTGCTGTTGCGAGGTCTGTGCCGTCTCTCTCGACGTCTTTCGGACCGGCGAGAAGATCCGCCCTTATTTCGAGAAAAAAGTCTGCCATCCCCGTCCACTAACCACCTACTATCGCCATTAGTAGAAGCTTTTTTACCCCCCAGCCTTCAGCCACATTACGAAAGGTTTTGTCTGCTCAGTCGAGAATCCGTCAAACCACTCAGGACACAAACGATCCACATGACCCATTTTGCCACAAATGAAACAAAAATGAGGCAATCTCTCATATTTGAGCTACTTCCACACAGAATCCGTCCCATTCTTAAGTTTGGGACGTTGCGTCAGAGGTTTACTCACATCCAACCACACCTGCATCCCCATAAATTCCAGATACCTGCCTTTAAAGTTGTTTTGGTCAGCCATAATAAACTTGCCCACAAAATTGCCTATAATCTGAGCCACTCCTTCCGTAAAAAAAAGACGCTGACAGGTTGAAGGCTTGCACCCATAATTGTTCCTGATTCAACGGGACAAAGGTCGGATTATCAGCCACCTCCAGTTTGCGTAGCACTAACATGTTATTGTCAAAAGACCACGGTCCTGTAGAAAGAATATGTTCGTAGTCGATTGCATGGAAAAACTGGAAAAGGTATCGATGATCCCCAACCTCTCATATATGAAGTCTTCCCGGTGTCCAGATATCCACAATGGTATCACAAAAGTGAGGGAATTTCACTTGCCTGTCCGTCGCCAAACGCCCTACAACCATCAGCCCTGGAGTGCTCAGAATCTGCTGCGATATCGCCTCTCCAACACCGATACCTTATGTATCATCATCATCCAGTGTCATACGCGTGTACATATCCTCTATGGAACCATCTACGATGAAAGCTAACGAGAACGGACGATGAAAATCGAGTGATCAAACGCCAAAAACCACGGCGAAGGAGAACACCCTAGAGTTTTAGGGAAGGAAAAAAAGTTCCGCTTTTTACTTTATTTGCATCTTTTAGATAAAACTTAACTGCATTTATGTGAATTCTGAGCATGCCTCTTTGGCTCTTTGAACCATTAGATGAAGTGCTAACTTGAAATGTCACTAGAAGAGGCTAATGCTCTAGTGTTAGTATGTTTATAAAACGGGATTTTAAAACACTGCTTACCTCTATGTTGAATCCTTTTTGCCTCCATTTCCTAGTAACCTATCTATTGCATTCCATTTTTGAACTTGGTTTTTCAATCTGGTCCACTGGAGGGAAATTGATTTGCTATTAATAACAACATTCAAAAAAATCAGATTTTGAAAATTTACAATGACACATATATTTAATAATAGTTTCACAAAATAGTTTTTTAATGCATCAATAAATAAAGTGTATTCAATTCAAAATAGAACATGTGAATGATGTAAAATTGAACATGTTTCACTTATTCAAATAGTGATGTTGTGTTAAAAATGCACTCGTGTTTGAGAATTTTGACATTGTTTAACTCTTATCTAGAGTGACAGACTGACAGATCTGGTCAAAAAAAAATCTAGAGTGACAGAAGGATCACTGATATGTTTTCATGCGTTTATCCTCATTCAGGACACATTGTGTCCCATATTAAGCGTCGTGTCCTCCATGTTTTAAGACTCAAAATGTACATATGAATTTCAAAGTGTGTCTGCTCTAACAAGACACTATATTGTGGCATGTGAATACATCCATATCGATCAAGTAATAAAATACAAACCAACATAAACACATTGATCTCAACTAATATGATATCAAAATCAAGTAGGCTCAAAATAAGACTCAATAAAGATGTTACTTGTTAGTGTAAACTGGTAATATAAAAGCCAAAACTACTTATTTTATAGATAATCAAAATAAGCCTGCTAAATGGGGCCTTTGATGATCTTTTATTCGTTACAAGTTACAACAAGAAATTCATTCCCTAAAGAAACCCATCACCTCTTTCCCTAAATATCGAAGCATATTTACTTCGTTTCAGAGAAGAAATCAAACGGCTAAATCTTCTGGTCTCCACTTCTGAATACCCAACTCCATTATCACTCAAAGATAATGGAGTTTACCATATACACATTGCTGAACACATGTTAGGGTGTCCACCGAAAACTAACCTCATTGCATGTTTGCTTCGCTGTTTAACTAATGCTGAGAATATAGGCTATTGCCTTGGATTTCAAGGACTAAAACTTCCCATCTCAAAAGGTTCATACTTATTTGAGCAAAATGTCTAGGCTATTAAGTTCAGCTCAATTGGTGTATAGGGCACACCAAAAGAGTTAGACCCTGATTCAATTCTAGCAATTACACTCCCCTACTCTACCAATTATGCTATGATAGTGCCGATTTATTAACCTTAAAAGCGAAGTGAGTAGCCATTCCAGAGGATGATCGAAGTATTAGGGTGCATTCTTTTTTCTTCAAAAAAGGTTCTTGGAGTTCATTGGTTTTCTTTAGAATCCATTTTCATGGAGTCCATAAACAAGCCAGCAGAAGACTAATTCCAAAAAGATTATCCTGACATAAAAACAATAAACACAATCCATTCCAACTTCATGGCATCTTGACAGATATATACTTAAAAATTCCAGCTGCATACATCTTCCACATGATCTTTGTGGCTGAGATGTAAATAACTCGTATAATAGAGATTCAGAAATGAAGACCTTTTATGCTGCAGATCATATGGCACGTGAATCTGCAATACAAGTCTATGATTAGCCGCAAACGCAACCAAGGTACAGTTGAATTTGTAACGGGGAAGGGTAGAACATTGCAATAAGATTCATCAAGCAATTGACACTTTTGCTCCGGCTGCTTCAAGCTGTTTCTTCGCTTCTTCAGCCTCTTCCTTGGACACTCCCTCCTTGAATTTCTTCGGCAAACCTTCAATCAACTCCTTCGCCTCTTTCAGCGCAAGGTTCGTCAAAGACCTAACCGCTTTAATCGTAGGAATTCTCGAGCTGCTAGGCACGTCTTCGATCACGACGTCGAACTCCGTCTTCTCTTCCACGACGGGGGAGGCATCTGCTGCGCCCGGACCTCCCGGAGCAGCGATTACGGCTGCCGGAGCCATCATAGCAGCGGAGACTCCGAGCTTGTCCTGTAGGTATTCGACGAGTTTCTGTGCGTCGAAGAGGGTGAGGCGGGATATTTCGTCTCCCAGCTGAACCACCTTCTCGGGGGCTTCAACGGCAGCGAGAGGGCGGAGGAATGTGGTCCGGCGGTGGAGATTTGGGGAGCGGAAGGGAAATTGTACGGCTCGTTTGGGAACGGCTGAAGCTGACAGCAACGAACTAGGGTTAGGATGAGAAGGAGAACGAAGGGTAATTGTGGATAAAGTGGAAGCCATATTGAAAGGTGTAAGGTGTAGTGGAGACGATGAAAGGAGATCGCGGTGAGGATAAGGAGCGTTTTCGTTCATAAGATACTCCTCCCACTTTAACACCGTTTTTGGATAGACCCCTGCATTTCTAATAATATCCCAATTTCAACCTGCAAAATCTTAGGAAATCGCAAAACACTAAACGTAAAACGAATGGTTTCTTAGTAAATAATACTCCCTCCGTCCCCTTTTAAATGGGACGGGAGATGGTGACACGGGTTTTAAGAAAAGTGAGGCACATGCAAATGCCAGTGCCACCCCGATTGAGGTGGCCCTCGGCCGTTAGATTAGTGACATGTGTACGCGCTTAGCATTTATGGCTGCTATAAATAGCAGCCCCTTTTCCCTTGTAAACGATTCCAACATCTCGAGTTCACTTGATATATCTGACTCTCTCTTACTTGTTTACTCTGACTTCTCTCTAGGGAATAACCCCTCGGATAAGCTACCCCCCCCCCCCCCCCCCGTACACCATCCATCAGTGATTAGTAGTAAAAGTTGATAGCGTTTGAGAAAAAAGTGATTTTGAAAAGTAAAAGGTGGTAGTGTTTGGTAAAATAAGTGTTTATGTGTAATAAAAAGGCAAAAAACGCTTTTCACACGAAAGCCGAGAAAAGGAAAATTTGGTAGTGTTTGGTAAATAAGTGTTTTTTAAGCCAAAAGCCGAGAAGTGCTTTTTTGAACAGTTGCAAACCAGCCTTAATTATCACTCCAACAGTAAGGGTATATTTGGCACAACTACCTGAAAAGATACTTTTGTAAGTTTTTTAGTAACAGTTACCTTTTAGTGAATGAAAAGGTCTTAAAAAGAAAATGTGGTGGCTGGGTTGGTAAAAAGTCGATTGTTTGATTTAGTTCGGTTTGGTCTACAAGCTGTTAAGACTAATTAGTACTAAAAGTCACGGGCTTTTCTCAGATGTTACTTGTCACGCCCCGGACCTACCGGACACGTCAACAACCCGCCGTACAGTACGAATAGTCAACCGCAGTCCAACTCATCCATACTATACTAGGCGTCTTGAATATCATTCACAATAGTACATCCATAAACAAACATAATGTAAAATATTCATTTAAAGCAGCGGAAATATTTAATAAAGTGTTTATGCCACACTTCGGCAAACATGGGCATACAAGCCCCCAAATAATTATTCAAAAATAATATCCATGAGCATTAATTTAATGTTTTAAAAATAGAACGGAGGAAGCACGAACCACGTCTTCCTTCCTTGATTCTCCCGAAGCAACGGGCACTGGTAGCAAGCTCAACTCCTACCTGAAACTGTGAGGTGGCCTCCCCCGTGAAGGGGAGGTCAGTACTTGGAAGCATTTGACAAGTACAATGACAACTATACTAAGTATAATCAACGTTTTAATTTCTAAGACCCTCAAAATAGGGTGATATCATAATATAAATAATAATTTATATTTCCCACTTATTATCTCTATAATAAGTAAATTTATTTATTTGTCGGCACACGACCCATTTCATATATTTCATTATACCCGTCGTTAGCACGACACCGCCCGTAGGTCTTATCATCCTTTACGAGACTTGTCACCGCTCTCCGAGGCCTCACCGGGCTCTCGGGCCGGAGTCCAACATCCCGCCCCTGAACTCATACCCATCGTCCCGTAGGAAGGTAAGGTCCATTCGGGGTCCTATCTTATGTGTTACCGCTGTCGGGAGCCTCGTAAGGTCTCCGGTTCGGATTCCACCCTAACCCGTGATCACGATGTAAGTCCATGCTATCCAACCCCGCTCTCTAGAGTCGGGAAGGGCCATGGTCCTTACTAATTACCAATACTCTATCGGCTAATCCTTAAAGACTACCGAATACACCCGTAGGCCAATCCTATTCCTAGGATCAATTTATTATTCACTTTATCTTGGGTATCCCTTAAGGCCTACCCCTAGCATCACTTATCCACCTTAGTATCTCTTAAGACTACTTAAGGCTCATCAGTTTACAATCCAAACCTTGGATCAATTCTAACGTATTTCATTCCAAAACCCCGACTAGTATCACAATACTAGTCGGATAAATTCCAACAAAACTCATTTTCAATTCATAGTCATATAGACAATTTCCAAACTAATTTTCCATTTGAAAATATAGTTCATATCAATATACAAAATATAACCTTTAATCACTCATATATCCTTATATGAAGTTATAGTTATATTTCAACACAATATTTATAATTTATCCCTTCATCAAGCCAATATGCTCATATTACATAATCATACACAATTTATCCTTAAACTTGTATATTATGCTCCTTTATTCATTGACAACAATATTTTCATTTAGGCATTATTAATCATTAATAATCCATGAAAATCACATTTATTTACTTTAGGTAATCCTACGAAATTAACCCAAAGATTATAAGCAATATAGTCAGCCATCCTCACCTTATGAAGTGCTGAAATAGTTGTCCTTGTTAAGCCCTTCGATCAATCCCCGTTCTAAACCGTTTGGAGATGAAAAATTTGGGCAGCAGGCGAAAGCCGGGCGGCTTTCGTGAAAGGTGGGCGGCTTTCGTGGTCTGCAGCTACGAACAGCCTCCTACACTTGGCGGTTTCCGGCGATTTCAACTCCTATCGATTCCACGACTCTTCTAAGTTAAATACCACCACTTTATAACAATATTATACACTTTTAAACGTGTAGAACTTCATGTTTAATTCATCGTATGATTTCCTAAAAATCATACACCATAAAACTAGTTAAAGAAACACTAGTTGTGTTCTTACCTCAAGAACCACTCTCCTCCTCCTTGGATTTTCCTTGTTGATTCTTCCTTCAACCTTGGACTCTATGAGAGTGTTTCCTAGAGCTCTCCTCTTCTTTGTGTCGGTCGAGTGATTGCAATGGTAGGGGGATGCTCTTGCTCAATCAATTAGGAATGATGCCAAGAGTAGTAGGTGTGGCCAATTTTTCTTTAGGAGACTTCTTCTCCTCCTTGCACGCACAAGCACATTTAGTTGTCCCCCTTCCCTCATTATTTGAGGCCAAGTGATGTGTAGAATACCCCCAAGTGGGTGTAGGGAGTCTCCCCCAATTATTCCTGATATTTTTGGCATGCTGGGCCAAAATAACTCTCGGGTTATCCAAATATTTTTATCAACTTTAGTTGACACATTATTGGGCTTCTATAATTATCACGATGACCCAACTAAATATTTGGTAGCCCATTCTTATACAATGGACCCGAGAATTAATTTAATTAATCTCACATTAATTAAATATATCAATCAATTACACGAAATTTATTCGCTAGGAATTTCAAATACAAGTCGAATTTCGAATTCAAGTACATCCGGGTGCGGTGTCACAAGTTCACCCCCCCTTAACGGGAATTTCGTCCCCGAAATTCACAAATGCTTATTCAAAAAGGAATGCATACTGTTCCTTCATCAAGGCTTCTGTTTCCCAAGTTTCTTCTTCAACTCGGTCACTTTTCCAAAGGATTTTAACCATTGGGACTTTCTTGCTTCTCAGCTTCTTTACTTGCCTATCAAGTATCCTCACCGGTCGTACAGCATAGTTCAAGTCTTCACGTATTTCCACGGGTGGTTTCTCTAACACGTGAGACGGATCCGGCACATATTTCTTTAGCATAGACACGTGGAACACGTTATGTATCTTCTCCAATTCTGGAGTCAACTGCAATCGGTATGCTACGGCCCCAATTCTTTCAAGAATCACAAATGGCCCAATATATCGTGGGTTAAGTTTCCCTCGGCTCTGAAATCGGATGATTCCCTTCCAGGGTGAAACCTTCAGGAATACCTCATCTCCCACCTTAAACTCTAAGGCCCTCCGGCGCTTGTCGGCATAGCTCTTCTGTCTATCCTGGGCCGCCTTAAGCCTTTCGCGAATCATCTTCACTTTAAACTTGGTGATCTCCACCAATTCTGTGCTCTCGAGTTTGGCCATGCCAACCTCATCCCAACACAAAGGTGTACGACATCTCCTCCCATATAATGCCTCGTATGGAGGCATGCCAATACTCGCCTGATAACTGTTGTTATAGGCAAACTCCACGAGTGCTAAATGGTTGTCCCAACTCCCTTGGAACTCCAATGCACAAGCTCTCAACATGTCTTCTAATATCTGTATGACCCTCTCAGATTGTCCATCCGTCTGTGGATGAAAAGCAGTGCTAAACTTCAATTTCGTTCCCATAGACTCTTGGAACTTCGGCCAAAATCGTGATGTGAATCGTGGATCCCTGTCGGACACAATGGTTATAGGAACGCCATGTAGCCTCACGATCTCATCCATATACAATTTGGCTAACCTCTCAAGTGCATAGGTAGTGTTGATAGGTAGAAAATGTTCACTCTTTGTAAGCCTATCAACCACAACCCATACGGCATCATAATTCTTCACTGTCCGTGGTAGCCCTACCACGAAATCCATAGTCACATGCTCCCATTTCCACTCGGGAATGGAAAGTGGCTGCAACAACCCAGCTGGATGCTGATGTTCTGCCTTGACTTGCTGACAAGTAAGGCATCGACTGATGTACTCGGCTATTTCCCTCTTCATACCAGACCACCAGTAACTTTCTTTCAAGTCACGATACATCTTCGTGCCCCCCGGGTGCATGGCATACGCCGATGAATGGGCTTCCTCTAAGATGGACTTTCGGAGCTCACTATCTGACGGTACACACACTCGGTCACGAAATAATAAGAGACCATCATCTCTTTCCCTGAAATCCTCAACCGGTCCCGCTAGCATGCGTTCACGGACCTTCATCAGCTCTTCGTCAGTTTCTTGACCCTTCTTGATCTCATCAAGTAACGTAGGTCTCACCTCGAATCTAGCTAACAAGGCACCATCGCTAGCTATCTCCAATTGGGCTCTCAATGCCCTCAAACTAGTCAACAATGCCCCAGACGAACTCTTTCGGCTCAAGGCATCCGCCACCACGTTGGCTTTACCGGGGTGGTACTCAATGATAAGATGGTAGTCTTTTATCAACTCCATCCATCGCCTCTGTCTCATGTTCAACTCTTCACGTATTTCAAGCTCTTATGGTCAGTGTATATATGACATGTCTCCCCGTAGAGATAATGTCTCCAAATCTTCAGTGCAAATA